TGAGACAGCTAGCTACTTGAGGATGGGTCCTTTGTGGCTTTGGTTTTCAACCTTATTGCATGACTTAAGGGAGCACTTGAATGGAAGCATTTATTTTGGTAATAATGGCAAAAAACAATCTTAGAGAGTATGAACACAGTAATTACTTACAGGCACTGAGAAGACAATTTTCAGTATAACACATTCATTGATTTCAACCCAGATAAGCTACATCATTGCGTACAGGGCATAATTTGTTGGAAATTCATCACAGTAAAACAACAGCTGTATCTCTTTAAGAAATGGAAGTAAAGAAACTGCTTTCCAGCACTGGCTAGCCCCAGGGATGACACATCATCAAGAAGAGACAGGACTCCACGAACAGGATGGAATGCCCCAGAAAAGAGGATGCTGACCTGGGTTAAAAGGGCTGAGGTCAAACCCATTTTTATCCAGATAGGAGCTCTGGCTTGAGCGAGTGCAGGACATGCCCTTGGGGGCAGTCACATTAGTGCTGCCAGGGTGCAAACAGCCCAAGACAGACACTGGGTCCTGGCAGCTCAGTATTCCAGGGGATCTGCCCAGCGACTCAGGAAGGGGCTAAACTGACCCAGGTGCAATATGCGGCTTCTACACAACACAATCCAGGGTGACCAGAGGCCATCTCAGACCACTCACCACTGCAGGGGTGAAGAGGCAGGACAGAAAGACAGAGAGGGACCCTCATGTGTGGGCCATGGACCCTTAAGTGGGCATAGGTACCTGTTTAAAAGGTTGCTTGGGGGCTTCTGTTTAAGAAGCCATCATGCCAAATGCTCATGTTTACTGCATTTTCCAATGAATATTCCCTAAGGCGATCCTAACCTCATGCTGTTGGAATATCTGTACTTCACTAGGGCAAGCGACCTACTCAAGACATCCATAGGCCCAATACTCAGTCAACAGCGTGGAAACGCACACCTGCTCACCACGACGCCACACTGGTCAATCCTGGCAGCTGGATGTAAAACTCACAAGTGAAGTGAAAGTCCCTCAGTCGTGTCCGACTCTTCGAAACCCCATGGACTATACAGTCCATGGACTTCTCCAGGCCAGAATACTGGAGTGGGTAGCCTTTCGCTTCTCCAGGGGATCTTCCCAACCCAGGGATTGAACCCAGGTCTCCTGCATTGCAGGCAGATTCTTTACCAGCTGAGCCACAAGGGAAGCCCAAGAATACCCGACCCAGGAATCAAACTGGGGTCTCCTGCATTGCAGGTGGATTTGGGAAGCCCAAAACTCAAAGGGCTTATTTTAAACCATTAACTTTCTCCCCTCTGGGCTGAGAAGCAGAGAGATTAACACCACAGCGAGGCATGATGACTGCTTCTCTTTGTGGGTATGAGGGCATCATCTGGGCCAGACACAGGGGCAGGGGGTAGTCAATTCTCCTGAAGTTCTGCTGGGTTTCATTTTTAAAAAAAAATGACCATGTGGCCAACCTATATAGGCATCAGAATGTTCAGAAATACAAGGCTTGGGAACTCTGCTTTACCTTTTTAGGCATAACTCTGAGTCATTAAAATTCCTTTTTAAAGGAATACATTAATGCACATGATACAAGATGTAAAAGGTATAAAAGGATATACAGAGAAAAGTCAACCCGTATGTATCCTTAGCAGCTGGGCACAAGCCCCACGGAGCAGGCCACGGAAGGGGAGGTGTTCTTCATTCCCTTCAACTGTGGGAGACGGCATGGCAGACACAAAGCAAGACTGACTGGGATTAGGGGCTGTTCCAAGTATCTACATTTCCAATCTCCCCTTAGCTGCAGTTACTATGGCTACCAGGCCTCCTAGTAACAAGGCAGCCGTGTGTTAATACTGGGCCCTTCCTTTGCTGACCCTCAGGAGAAATCTGGAAGGCAGCCAAGACAATAGAACACCCAAGGCAGAATGAAGAAGCAGCAATTAGACTGTAGTTAACAATATCTCAAAGCAGAGGGAGAAAAATAGATCTGTGGTGTCTGCAAATGAGGCCCTGGCAGAGGCATCCTGCGCCAAGAACAGGTCTTGTCTTTGGAACGCTGCGGCTGGCGAGAGGGGGCTGGGCTATGCAGGAAAAAGCAATTAAGGGACAAGAAGGACTTGATGTCCAGATGCCTGTCTGGAGTGCCTGACTTCCTGTAGCTCACGGAGCAAGGGCTGACACCCATAATCTGAACCTGCCAGGGTGGGTGCCTTCAGTGGGACAGGGGCCTTGAGACTTGGTGGCCAAGACAAGCACTGGGGATCCCCCCTTCAGTTCACCCAGCTGCAAGAACCACTCTGAGCACAGGAATCAGGGCCTCTGAAGACAGCCTCCGGGCCCACCTAGGTCCACGCTGATGGCTCACACCTCCCATGTCCCAGGGATGGGATGCAGTGCACGTTCTCCAATCCCAGGGTTGCTTTGAAATACGAGAGAAGCTAAAATAAAAACCTTCAAAAGTGTGTCTAACTCTGCTGGAACATTTATTCCCTGGACACTGTGAGTTAGATTACGTCTGCCAATGCCTCAAGGGTCAGCGTCTGCCACACTTTTTAAGGGTCTCTGCCATATATATACTTTTTAAAACTGTCTTGTTTGACATTACTCTTACTATGTTTCATAATAAAATATTTTTAAGGAAAAAAAAAAAAAAAAAATAAAACTGTCTTGTTAACTTTTACTATCATTATTTTTCCCAATTATGAAAGTGAAACATACTCATAAAAAATTCAGAAGAAAACACACATGAATATATAACTCACAATGCCCAAAGATAAATAACACTAGTATTAATATTTTAATTCTAGATATATGTATATATGTAACTTATTTTTACAAAAATACATTTTTCTAAGAATATATATCATTTATTATAACATCAGATACTAGAAATTCATTTTCTTGTAACACTTATGAATGATTCTGTCATAAAACAACAGCATCAATAGAGCTAAGGAAATATGGAACCTTCTTTTTGATGGCTGCCCTGCACACAAGAGCACTGTAACCAGCAGGTACTTCTGCTGAGCTGAACAGAATCGCACATCTGCTCAGGTTACAGCAGGCCAGAGAGACCTCTACATGGATCAAATGTTTTTTTTTTGGCCTGATGGGCCAACATTAATAACTTAAGAAGTTTAATTAATAGATTTTTTTCCAGTTCTGATAGTGACTTGTCTTAAAATTTTAAAGAAAAAGAGGAAGCTTCATCTCAAAGTCATTATGGCTACAAAGAGCAAGTGGTCTGTGTGACTGAAGACCTGAGGGAGACCTTAGAGGTGGTAAGACAGACATACCTGAGGAGCCACTGATGCCCCAAGGAAGGAGCCCCAAGGGAAATTGGGAAAGGCGTTAACTGAGTACAGAACACACAAAAATATTCAGTTGTCATAATATCTTACCGTTCTGCTTTTCTTCCATAGTTTTTCCCCATTCAGCCTGAGTTCACCTTTGTAGAATGCATCTTCCACTTTGCTTAAAAAAAAAGTCAAAGCACTTTAAAATAGAAATATATTCAAAACAATTTTATAATTTTGAGAAAAATATGTGACCGGCCTCCCCATAAAATCTCCATTCTGGGCACTGGGAAAGTGAAAGTCAACTGCTCCCATATGAATCTAAACAGGGAGACCAAAGGGCAGTGCTAAGTGGATGCGGCTGCTGCAAAGATCTGCTAGAGCGAGATGGCAGGCAAGCAGCGCTCTACTGGGACTCCACGTGGGTGATAGCTCCTTGATCCACGACAGTCAAAATGAGTGGGTGCTACCTTCCCCTCATGTGCTCTGAGAGAGAAACCAGTTACCACACCTATGGTGAGGCTGTTAAGAAACCCTCCGCTGATCTGCACTGAGGCTGGGGAAATGCCAATCCAGCCACTGGTGATCTCTCTGAATTTAATCAGTGGGGCAACTAGACCAAGGCAGGATACAGACAAAAATGAGTGCACTTTCGTCTTAACACTCAGACTCCTGGTGACTGATGTTGGAGGTTTTCCTAATAACAGTACTAGCTACTACTATGTGAGAGACAGGGAGGCCCTTAATGAGCCTGTCAGATTTTAGAGAACATTCAAGTCCTGATGAGGGTGACTATGGGCTCAGAGTCATCTTTATAAGTCTTTAAGTTTCGTGTATTAAAAAATTAAACTATGCCATTAAATTAGGACATAAAGGTACAAATTAGACAAAGGAATCTTAATTTCTTATTCATACGACAGTTCTTTCTTTGCATGCAGTATGCACACAATGATTGCTAAAGGAATGAATGAACAGTGAAGATCACTATTATTATATAATAGGTCTAGCAAAGAAACAATGAGATTAAAGAAACCTTGAAGGTTACGCTTAATATCTCCATGCACTATATATATGAACACACACAGTATTTTCATCATCATAGCTAACATATATTGAGAACCCATATGCCACACATTGTTATAAATGCTATAGAAAAACAGACTGAAAAAAAAGAAAAATAGACTGACTTATTTAATCCTAGCCACCACCTTCTAAAGCCAGTTCTATTACCCTTATTTTACAGATGAGGGAATTGCACAGAGATTATAAGTAGCTTGTCCAAGGTCACAGAGAGCCAGGATTAAAGCCCCAGTAGTCTGGATACAAAGCCTGCAGTTTTAACCACCTCGTTATGCTGCTTCTAAGAGATACCATCTCATGCAGCATTTATGAAACCCAGATGCATTCTATGCTTGCTGTATACATCTAACATGGTGATTCCTTTTTTCCTCAAGAAGCTGTTTTTACATCAGTGGTTCATCTTACAGTTGACTGTGTCTTAGAGTCAAGGAAATAGGGCACATGGGATTTGCAGGCAGTCATTTGACTTCTTTGGGAATTAGTTTTTTCATCTATAAAATGAAATAATTGGACCAGGTTCCTATAAGATTCTTTTACATCTGTGGTTACCCTTCACTGTAATATGAGCCATGTGATTGGTAACGCTGCTTTAAAACAACCAAGAAGACGAGTGATTTTGTATGAAAACGCACATACTTACTTCCTTCCGACATCTAGGCCCGTCTTCAGGATAACGTCATACCGGAAAGACTGTACTACTTTGTCCAGGTCTTTATAGTCTTTGACCTCACTGGGGTTGTCCTTGGGCTCCTCTTCTAGCTCACTCATCTCATTATGGTCCCTCTCTTCATCAGAGTCCCCTTCATCTTCCACTTTTTGTAGAGTCTTTTTAGTGGATTTTTTAGAGCTTATATTACTTTTGAGTCTTATGGAAAATGGGAAAATATATTCTGGAGATATTAAAAGCCCTGGGAGTCTCAGTGAGAAAATGTTATGGAGGACTGTTTTATAATTTGATGCATTTGAGTTGGCACTAGAGAAATACAAGTATCGATTCCAGGAAGCACAGCCTTTATGTGAAGGTGTCCCTCGCAGTGCCCTGCAGAGTCCAATCCAGGCATCTGACTTTCTTAAAACGCTGCTGGGCAGTCTGACACTAGTCATGGCCATGGCACATACTACCTGAAACAGACAGTTCAGTTTTACCTCACAAGTGTGCTATCTTGGCATTCTTACTACATAAACCATACGCACCCTCAACACGTTACAGCTGATACTATGTTCCCTCCTTCGAAAGGCCATGTTGGTCCACGTGAACCAAGGCCATGCATCCTGTACCCGGTGAGTCTTCTGGCTGTACTTAATGTGCTGACCTCATAGGACGGTCATGAAGGTCAAACTGGCTGCTAGGACATGTGAAAACACAGGTTCCACTCTTCTGACTCCCCCAAATTAGCTTGGGTACTGACTGCTCAGTGCTTTCCCCCCCCCTTCGGCTATGTCGTGCGGCTTGCAGGATCTCAGTTCCCCGACCAGGGATTAAACCTGAGCCCCAGCAGCGAAAAGTCCAGAATCCTAACCACTAGGCCACCAGGGAACGCCCTTAATGATTTTAGAAAAAAAAAAAAAATCTCAGAACAAGAAACACTGTCTACTGACATACATTATTACAAGCTTACAATAATGGACTTTGCCAAGGATACCAGATCATCACTTTATAAAACCCAGAGTAAGTCTCAAAACTTTCAACATCCAACTGCAGCAAATCAGAGCTAGGAATGAGCAAATTGTACAGATCTGCATTCTACCCCCTTTCACATCTTCTTCTTAATAGATTCATTAGCTAGCAGAGAAAGAAAGGGCCTGGAGACCCACTAACTAGGAAATAGTTTCCTGAGGCATTGAGGTGCTGTCATGCCACATGTCCTGTATGCTCCACTGCGAGAGGCCTCTTGGAAGACTGTACCTGGTTTCCTCTAGACTTTGTCCCAGGCATCTTGAACCTTGCAGGTTGTATCATTTTGCTGTTGTAAATCATAGCCATGACCCATAGCTGAGTCCTGTTGAGTCTCCCCAGTGAAATCAGTGAACCCAGAGGTGGTCTTGGGGATCCTGACATAGTATCTGACTGCCTATTCGATGTATCCATTTGGATACATAACAGGGACTTCACTGTTAATTGGCCCTGAAACAAACTCTTATATATCTCCAATCCCAAATCTGCTCTAGCTGCAGCCATCCCCATTTCAGTTAATAGTAACTCTACCCTTCTAGTTCCTGAGAAGGAAAGTTTCCAGTCACTCTTGACTCTTTCCCCCCACTCAGATCCATTATGTTGGGAAATCATGTTGGCTTATCTCCAAAACCAAAACATTTGGTTTCCCTTTCACCGTTCCCACAGATTCAGGCCTCTGTCTATCATCAGGGTTACTACCAAGGCTCTATCACAGTCTGTTCTCCATACAGCAGTCAGTCACAGTGACTCTTTTAAAAAGGAATTTGTATCATGTCTCTCCTTCCCTCACAATCCTACAAAAGCACTGAAAAAGCAAACTCCCTCCCTTGCCCTATAGGCCCTGTGTGATCTGGCCCCTCCATTTCCTCTCTGACCTCATCTCCCGCCTCTCTTACTCTTGCTTACTCAGCTCCTTCCTGAAGATCCTCATACACAACAGGCAAACTTCTGGGTAGACTCCTTTGTTCCAGATGCCCTACTACACCCTTAGTCCAGGTTATCTGCAGGGATAACTCATTTTTAACTCAGTGAAGTCTACTCATTCCAACTCCATTTAACAGGTATCTTGTCCTCCCAATCTCCCCTGTTCTACTTTCTTCCATCATAGCATTATCTGCTATCATGTTATATAATTTACTGGTTTTCTGGTTGTTTTTTTTTAATGACTCTGCTAGTAGAATATAAACTGTTCACCGGTGCTTTTTTCCTCTGCTCAAGCCTAAGTGCCCAGAATAGTGCCTGGCACGTGGTTAAGTGCTTGATTAAATACTGTGAAGTGAAAGCACAGCAAAAGAATCGGTGCATTAGAATGAAGAGCAAAGGTGGGGCTCGGTTGACAGGTAAGAGGTTAGATCGCCAGGAGCCTTCCATATCAAAGCGTGGACTTATCCAGAGAGCGTGAGAGTTACAGAAAGATTTTAGGTAGGGAAGTGATCCGACAGTAGTGCTTTTAAAAAGATTTCTTTGGCGCGACAGCGTGGACATAAAGGGATGATCGCAGCAGGAAGCCTGAAGGTGGTTTTGACCGAGATCTTCAGGCGAGATAGAACATCTGTGAACTAACAAAAGTCTGTAAGAAGAGCAACGACTGGAATGCAGAGGCGACTCTGTCCTGAACCCGCGGGACACTTGGAATCGCTCCACGTTCCTAAGTCTGTTAGCTACTCCGAATGGAGAACCTGACTGAACTGCTTTTAGGTCAATTGCAACTAAAAGTCTCTTGGCTCTGAGGCTGACAAATTGCTGAGACAAGGTCATGTTCCCCTCGCTGCCTCCCTACCCCCTCGGGCTGCGCACCTTCGCAGGTTCTCAAGGTCAAGGGAAACTGGACACCAGAGTCCTCGAGCTTGCAGTCTGCGTCTGCAGCCAGCAGGAGCAGTCAGACCCAGGAGCGGATAGCCTTGGCCCCCGGGGTCCACAGGGCGTCCCGAGCTGGCCGGGCCGGGGCAGGACGCGAGACACTCACGCGGAGACCTGGCGGGAGCGCAGCCGGGGGAGAGGAGCTCGCCGCTCCTGCATTTCCCACGTGCGCGCGATGAAGCAACAGAAGGGGGCGCGGGCCGGGGTCACAGCTGCCCCGGCAGGGGCGCAGTTACCTGTACGTCAGCGCGGCTCCTCCCTCCCCGCCCCCCTCCCCGCGGCCTTGCCGACCGCCTGCCTCCAGGCCCCGCCCTGTCTTCGCCCCGCCCCTTCCGTCGGCGCCGGCGCGCTGAGAGCGGGCTGGGCGAGGCGCAGGGGCGCGGTGATGGCGACGCAGCGACCTCTGCTGCAAGTCGTGTCTGGGAGGACTGCGTGGGGAGTGTGGGCGGCCCGGAGGAGCGATTAGCTGTGAGCTGAACCGGAAGCCACCTCCGGGTGATTAATTCCACGTGGTTGAAGAGAGGGTTTTTTTTTTTAGATAAGTAATTTATTTTTCATTGAAGTCTAGTTTATACGTAACACTACATAAATTATTGGTGTACAAAATAGTGATTCACAATTTTTAAAGGTTATACTCCTTTGCTGTATTCCCTCTGTTTTATAAAATATTCTTGTAGTTTATTTGCAACTGAGTAGTTTGTGTCTCTTAATCCTATATTTTTATATTGCCCCTCCCCCTTCCCTCTCTCTGCAGTTATCCTGCTAGTTTGTTTTCTGTATGTGTGAGTCAGCTTTTTTATTATATTTCCTGGTTGTATTTAGATTCCACATATAAGTGATATATAGTATTTGCCTTTCTCTGACTTATTTCACTTAGCATAATGCCCTCCAAATCGTCCATATTGGAAATGGCAAATTTTCATTCTTTTTTGCCACTGAGTAGTTTTCCATTGTACTTGCATCACATCTTCTTTATCCATTCTTCTGTTGAATTAGTGTTTTGTTTAAATATATACCCAGGAGTAGAATTGCTGGGGCACTTGGTAGTTCTATTTTTAGTTTTTTGAGAACCTGCCATACTGTTTTCCATAGTGGCTGCATCAGTTCACCAACTGTGTACAGGGATTTCCCTTTCTCTAGTCCTCGCCAATGTTTGTTATTGTGTTCTTTCTGACGATAGCCATTCTGACATGTCTGTGATGGTATCTCATTGTGATTTTAATTTCCATTTCTCTGGTGATTAGCAATGTTGAGCATATTTTCATGTGCTTGCTGGCAGTCTGCATTTCTTCTTTGGAAAAATATCTGTTCAGTTCTGCTCCATTTTAAAATCAGGTTGTTTGGTTTTTTGATATCAAGTTGAATGGACTGTTTATATATGTTGGATATTAACCCCTTCTTAGTCATATCATTTGTAAAGTTTTTCTTCCATTTAACAGTACCATTTGTGCAAAAGCTTTTCAGTTTAATTAGGTCCCATTCATTTATTTTTGCTTTTTATTTCCTTTGTTTTGGGAGAAGGATCAAAAAAAAAAACTGCTGTGAAGTATGTCAAACAGTGTTCTGCCTGTGTTTTCCTCTAGGAATTTCATGGTATCCAGTTTTACATTTAGGATTTAATACATTTTGAGTATTACTGCATATGGTATAAGAGAATGCTTTAATTTCATTCGTTTTCATGTAGCTGTCCAGTTTTCATAGCACCACTTATGGAAGAGACTCTTTTCTCCACTGTGTATTCTTAGCTCCTTGTCAGATTAATTGGCCTTTAGTGCGTGGGTTTATTTCTGGGAAGACAGCTTTTTTAAATGCTGTGAGCCTTGAGTTTTCTGGGATCACCAACCCCTTTGAACATCTTTGAGAGTTATAGATGTTGTCTCCAGAAAAATGCGCTTACACCCCAGAGTTTATAACCTGCTTGGTTGTATTCAGGCAGAAAGCAAAGGCAGTTCCAAATTATATCTGGTGCTGAAGTGCTAAAACGTCCCATATTGTATGAATTTGTTGCAGGAAGGGGGGACCCTTTCCAGGGCCCAGAAGTGGGCTCTTGTCTAAAACTTGGAAATGAATTGTCCAAGGAGACGCACATACTGGCAAAGCAAAGATTTTATTGGAAAGGGGCGCCTGGGCAGAGAGCAGTAGGGTAAAGGAACCCAGGAGAACTGCTCTGCCACATGGCTTGCAGTCTTAGGTTTCATGGTGATAGGGTTAGTTTCCCTGTTGTCTTTGACCAATCATTCTGACTCAGAGTCCTTTCTAGAGGTGCATGCATTGTTCAGCCAAGAGGATGCCAGCAAGAAGGATTCTGGGAGGTGGTGTCTCCTTTTGGCCTTTCCCAAAGTCTTCTGTTTGGTGGTGGCTTATTCCTTCTGTGTTCCTTACTAGGACCTCCTGTCCTAAAACAACTCATACAAATAGTAACTATGGTGCCTGGCCAGGGTAGGTGGTCAGTCAGTGTGCTTCCCCTAACAAATTCAGATTATCCTGTTGACCTTTTACACAGGTGATACACAGTTACATTTACTAGTTCAAGTCATTTGTAAAAGACTACAGATGCATTGTTAAATCTGCCAGTAATAGGAGTTAATCAGTACTATTAGCTGAGAAAATTGCTGTGTGCTTATGCATGATTTTGGAAGGAGATGAATACAGTGCTATTGGATTACATAAAAGCAACTTAGTCGCTGGCCTTTAGAAAAATCAAAATTTTGTTAAATGACTATTCTTAACTTTAAATTGCTAAATAATATTTTTAAAAAACTGATGTGAGGTTAAGAAGTAGTTTAATGGTGTACACACATATTTGTGGTTTTTTTTTTTAATAGAAACTGGCCCCTGCTGTGGCACATTGTAGTTCTGACTAGTTTAGACCACATAGAGGGCCAAGTTTACATTCCCTCATAGGGCTACACTAGGTCAGATGAAAAGGCACTGAGAATTGAACTGAGAGTTGAGCTTACAAGTCTGGACTCCAGCCTTTAATATACCTCAAATATTTAATTTTATATAAAGTGATGACTAAATCAGAGCACTTTTACTTTTACTTATAGGTGAGTTTTAAATTATTTTTTATTTTTTCAGCCACACCACTTGGCTTGCAGGATCTTAGCTCCCCAACCAGGGATTGAACCCAGGCCATGGAAGTGAAAATACCAAGCCCTAACCATTGGGCAACCAGGGAATTCCCTCTGTGACATTTCTTAAATTGTAGTTTTGAGAGTCAGGATGTCTGTAGCCAAAGGATCATAAACCAAGTGGTCTGGGCTCTCTGAATTTATCATGCCATCAAGAAACAACATGAGTTTATGTGTTTGTGATGCTATCTGTTGATGGACTATGACTTTTTCCTAGGTTTTTTGTTGGTTTTTGGTTTTGATATAATTGAAAATGTGCTCATGAATTGCTTTTTTATTTTCAAGTTTTAATTTGCTATTTTTTTAACAGAAGATATTCAAACAGTTTAACATGTATACATGAGAGAGACCCAGAAAAACTAAGTCCGCAAAATGGTTGAAATACCATTCTGAGCTAAAAATAAAAGAGGGTGTTGAGAATGGGAAATTAGAAGTGGTCAAGCAGGAGATGGCAAGATTGAACATTGACATTTTAGGAATCAGTGAACTAAAATGGACCGGAACGGGCAAATTTAATACAAATGACCATTATATCTACTATTGTGGGCAAGAATCCCTTAGAAGAAATGGAGTAGCCCTCATAGTCAACAAGAGAGTCTGAAATGCAGTACTTGGTTAAAATCTCAAAAATGACAGAATGATCTCTTCATTTCCAAGGCAAACAATTCAGTGACACAGTAATCCAAGTCTGTGACCCAACCAGTAATGCTGAAGAAGCTGAAGTTGAAGGGTTCTATGAAGACCTACAAGACCTTCTAGCACTAACACCCCAAAAAGATGTCCTTTTCATTATGAAGTGAAGTGAAGTTGCTCAGTCATGTCTGATTCTTTGTGACCCCAAGGACTGTGGACCACCATGCCCCTCTATCCATGGGATTTTCCAGCCAAGAGTACTGGAGTGGGTTGCCATTTCCTTCTGTAGAGGATCTTCCCAACCTAGGGATTGAACCCAAGTCTCCCTCATTGTAGGCAGATGCTTTACCATCTGAGCTGCCAGGGAAGTCTCCTTTTCATTATAGGGGATTGGAGTGCAAAAGTAGGAAGTCAAGAAACACCTGGAGTAACAGGCAGATTTGGCCTTGGAGTACAGAATGAAGCAGGGCACAGGCTAATAGAGTTTGCCAAGAGAATGCACTGGTCATAGCAAACACTGTCTTCCAAAAACACAAGAGAAGACTCTACACAGGGACATCACCAGATGGTCAATACTGAAATCAGATTGATTATATTCTTTGCAGCCAAAGATGGAGAAGCTCTATACAGTCAGCAAAAACAAGACTGGGAGCTGACTGTGGCTCAGATCATGAACTCCTTATTGCCAAATTCAGACTTCAACTGAAGAAAGTAGGGAAAACCACTAGACCATTCAGGTATGACCTAAATCAAATCCCTTATGACTATACAGTGGAAGTGAGAAATAGATT